AGCACGGGAATCGTTTTTCAAAATGGAGGTTCTGTGCGATGCACAGTGCTGTAATATTTTGAAAAAGTGATTGCTGCGGTCTTCCCTACGGATTGTTGAGCTTGTTAGGAGGGTGTAAAAAAAAAATCTGAGCCCGTTGACTGGCTCCTTAAGTGTACTAACACCAGATGTAGAAAGTCATAATTACCACAGAGAAATCAGGTGGCATGGTTCTGTGTTTGAGCATGTCAGACAGGATTTGTTTACGGGTCCCAGGCTATCAAGGCGTGCTCTAATATGGGCCATACTTTTCATTTCATTTCATTTCATTATACCCCTCAGGGCCAGAGGCATTACAGAGGGGGAGTGGTAACAACACTTTGACAAAAAGAAAAGAAACAGGAACATATATTTCAAACATATATTTCTAGTAAAATAATTGTCTCAAATAAAAGGTGCTGATTGGTAATCGCCATTTTACGGACTCAAGCTTGTAATTATTGAATTTGTACGAGTTCTTACACACAGTTTTTGTGAATGAAACATGTAGTCGCGGTGTGAAAATGCTGGATAGGATGTCAAAATTGGAAAAACTAGTGCTCTCAAAGCTGCCACTTATGGGTGGAAACACAAACTGGCACTGCCGTTGTGCCATGTATATTGAGCGTACCTGCCTGCACCCAGATTAGCATTCGTACGGGAACGGAAGAGGACGACTTTGGGCATAATGGACTGGACGCTTAAGTAGGTTGCGCATGCCATGTTTGAGCCCACTACAAAGGGCGTGCACGAGAACTTTTAGACAAGAACTTGCTAATAAAAATAAATTCATAAATTAAGGCAATGGTCTTGCTTCGGCTTATAAAAACCACAGTACTTGAACACCAAGATAAGCACAACAAAGCTGACCTTGTCTTATCGCACAAAAAGTTATACAGCTATGCATGCCACTTGTTGACAGCCGCCTTTCTGCAGCAATGTAGCGCGCTTTCTTGATGCATTTGCCGACACACACTTATCTCGCTGCTCGGGTGAAAACTTTAATTATACGCGCGTCCGCGTGGTCAAATAAAATGTAATGATTCGCGTCCTACTAGCTTCTAGAAATGTTCAGCACATCTTATCTGAGCCAGAAAACACCCAGACAGGCCTTTCATAATAGTTCAGGACAATGCTTCTTCTTATTTATTTACATGCTTAGTGCCCCTAGGCATAGATTTTACACCAACAAAAGTGTACCTCATATGATTCTGAGTAATTTCCTGTCAATGACGTGAACATTAATCTTCACAAGGAACGTTTTTATTGTCTTGTTAATGGAAGTGAACACTCTTGACTTAGCTGTTAGTCCCTTGTCTGCACATAGAATTTATTTGTTCGCCGTTGAGCGAACTCTTATCACAAACGAAGCCTCGAAAAAATGTTCGTCCAAACTGCTTCTGGTAGTGCACAAGGCATGCGACAAGTTGACATGGTTCACACATGAGTGTCACCGCAGTTACACCCGAATCAATAGACGACACACGATCAGACAATAATACCAAACGGTAGCACAATAGCTGCAAAAGGACAGTAGCATTATGACGCACTGCCAGAAAGCACAAACTACAGCAGGGAGTCAGGTGCGCCCAAAGCCAGCACCTAGCAAGTGCAGTGGTGGTTCCGGGCAGTACAAGCGAGTTTGAAAACTGAATCTGTTATAGTAACGTTGGTTTTCCATGAGTGCCCTTCTGTACTGTGAGCCGGGTAGGGGAACGGTTCACACTGGCTGTGCGGGGTCAATAGCCCTCTGAAAAAGGATTCAGTGTCTCCTTCTGAGGCTTGTCCTCGCTGCTAGATTGGCTGCACTTCTGTCAAGAAAAAGGGTGCATGGGTCCTCATATTTCTTGTGGATAAAATCGCAGACTCAAAAGTACCTCCTTGCAGTCCATCGGCAACCATTGTCAACAAAACTGTTGGCTTCCTTTTTTTCCCACACCGTGTCCCAGCACAGCCATACGATCCATTCAAGTCCACAACACTGGACTGTGCAGTTCCTCTTCACAGTTCCTCTTCACAACACTGGACTGAAAGGTTCCTCTTCACAGTTGGAATAAAGCTACAAAATATCTTTTTTGTATTGGACCTGTGGGGATCTGAGTCACGCCTGCATCCATTGTGCGGGCATTTTTGCTGCTCTCTTTTATCCTCCCATGCTCTTGGGATGGCACATAACAATAGATAGCAACGCGCGAGCTCGGGCCGTAAGAATTGATACCAAGTCACCTTCGTCCTGGGGACGTTCTCTCTCTCCTTGGGCAGCGCACAGTAAACACTTTTTTTTTTTTTCAGTCAGTCTAGCAACTAGCTTTTTAATGGAAATCCGCCTTTCACAAATACTGTATTAAGCAATGAATTTCCAACTCGCTCAAGAAATAGCACTCCACAATATTGAGCGACCAACCGTTTCTTAATGGAGAACCCGCCAAGTCAGAGGTCCTGTCATTGGCCACTTGATGATGTATAAGTCAGGAGAAAGGCTTTATCTTTCCTAGAGAAAAGTGGGCATGAAATAAGCGCTGCTCACAGCATTGTGCAGATTGCTTTGGACCTACTTATCATGACTTGAAACCTTGTTTGCTTGAGTGTGTGACAGTTAATTATTTGGTGATGTTTTTGGGGCACCTAGCTGCAGTTTCAGAGGCAGGATCAGACAAGTTCTTCTGCGACCACAGCTGGGGCCAGGCAAAACAATGACACCAGCTGTGCGCAACAATTCGTTCATGAGAGCACTGTGTTCACAACTGCAGCATGTGCAAGGAGCCTAAGCAAACTTGTGAGGCAAGAATTGAAGAAGTGGCCAAACGAACACATCAATTGTGTCGTTCGATCTATCCTCGATTTGTTCACGGCCGTTGGTAGGAGCTTGACAGATTAGTCGGCTGAAAGATGTGCATCGCAAGCTTTTGCGTTGCTGTAAAAGCCAGCTACTGTAGCTATTTTTTCTGGCTTTAAAACATTGTTTGTGTTGTCAGTTGTGTGTACTGGTTGCCTGCGAGCTTTGCTCATAAAAATAAATGTACCAGGCTCTACGGAGGTTAATTTTTTTAATTGATGCAAGTAATCTCAACAAGACTGAAAAGTAGCACCAGTCACAAAGTATTTCTTTGTTTATTATTTCAAAGCGTAAGAACTCCTGTCATTGAGTATGCAGAGTAAATAAAACTTGCTTTTCGTGTCACTGTGCGAAGCATTGGGCTTGTGGATGTAGTTGCTTTATATTAATCTGAATTTCACTAGCTGCTGCACAGTTTTAATTTTACAGTTTTCCAAAAACTGATAAAAAGTGCTAAAAATAAAAGCAAAAAGGCATGGCAATGAACTTACAATACAATTAATCTATAGTAGAAAGTGAATGCCCTTTCAAGGCTGCAGTGTAATAATAAATACATGCACTAAAATAGCGTACTTGAGTACAGAAAAGTAAATTGTTGTGTGTGAAATCATACAGATTGCACACGTTAAAGCTGATCTTCAAGGTGTTGCAAAAAGCACATAAATAAACTTTGCTTTCCAATAATCAGTTACATGCATGGTTGAGCGATTTCTGGACCACCAATTCTTTTGCTAACAATAATAGCATGGACGTTTATTGACACACGTTCTTCATGCATGTTCATCATCATGGGCGTTCATTGCATTCATTGGTTGTGAGAACTCAGCTTGACTGTGATCAATGCCTAAGGCGTGGTCGCTTCAATGTGCTTTTGTGGCCTAATAAAAGTCGCATTACCTCTGACATCACAATATGAAGTCTCGATGTGAGGCACACTTTCTAAATGAAAGGAGGCAGCGGAAATGGTCAAGCAAACCAAAACATGGGGTACATTTGTTCAATTACTTTTACAAATAATGATATCGCTAGCCTAATAGAAAACGTCGCTAGTGACACGCTGAAATAACCTTATACAACATTCAAATACACTCAGTCAACGTTACAAGAAACGCAAGGTAACTCAAAAGTGGCGTCAACGATGTTCAACTCACCATGAAAGACCCATGGAACACGACCCATGGTTTGCCGCATCCCGTAGACGCCCATCAGGAGATGGCCATCCACGTGAGCCATCACATACCAAAGAGACTCCCTGAATATTCTCTGTGTAGCTGCTGGCGCTAACCATAATAATGATGATGATCGTGATCCCGTGCGATTGCCGGGCCACTAAAACCTAAATACGGCCTATTCGCGACACACGTACGCACCACGAAGAGCAAACGACTTTACAGGGAGTGATAGCACGCCCACAACAAGAGCACATACACCATGTGTGCGTGCGTGCATTCACTCGTAATGCCAGCTGTTATCATGAAAATAGTAAGTACCATTTCACTGGGAGATGATGCACTAGTCACCTTTACAGAACCAGTCTGAATCCAGGAAAATAGAAAAACAAATATAGAATAAAGAACACATCACACTGCAGCTGCAAATAGATGCGAAAAGCTTGTTGTCAGGGGCCGTAACTTTTCAGTGTTATGTCAGACCTCTCTGGTAAAATATTTTCGGGGTGTAAAAGTTTAGTTTGAGTGCTCGTGACACACACTGGCTACGTACATTCAAGTGTATCGAAGCTGGGGAGAAATCGGCCGAAAGTACCTTTGTTGCCACTTTGTGCAAAGTGAACTTGAGAGCTTTTAGGCAATGTGTGGGCAAAGCATCCTTGTTGGCCACCTTGTTCCTACCACCGTGGTTACAACTATGTCGACGTTTCAGTTATGAGGTACTTCGTTTTTCTATCAATTGTGTTCCATACACTTAAAATTGATTTTAATTATGATCTAAGCTGTATTTTTATTGACTCATTGTTAGTGTGTAACCTAAAAACTTGGCTTGATTTCTCACTTGAGCCCTGCAGACACTGTCGGAGTTTCTCGGGATCACGTGAACATTCTTGTAGTCTTATGGCATCTGCTACCGTCAACATGCTTGTCTGCAGAGGCCTATGTTGTCCTCTACATGTGATCATGTCTGTGCCTAGGATGAGGCTGCTGAACCGGGTGACCGTGTCCTACCTGTTGACCGAGTTACGGCTGTACGACCACCTAGAAGCGCTCACCAACTACTACTGCTTCCAGGATGGCGAGTTTGGACAGGCACTGTGTGATGCCATATGTCTCAAGGTGAGAATCCCTCAGGCTCTAAGGAGGTCGCCGGGCTACTGCTGGCCACTTTACTTCCTTCACATCTATGCTGCCGCAGCAAGGGGGCCCTGGAGTACTTTTCACGTGACAGCGTTTAAGAGCCCGTTTCACAGAAATTCTGGCATTGATTGTGAAACCATCATCTGGTCTGTGACTGAAAAATTCCTAAACATGCAGATAAAATAAATAATAAAATTTTCGGGCTCAACGTGACAAGCAGGTGTTATATGATACAACCATTTGTCCGCTTAAAAATACAGTGAAAATAACTTTCACTCTTTACAAACACACATGTGCTGTACAGTTTTGACAATGCATGTAATATTGCAGTAATAATGTGAGGTACAAGCATACATTGCCATCAAGCATCATTACATGAGATTATCATAATGACTTTGTGGTTTAAAGCCGGCCACTCATTACAAAAGGCACACATGTCACTGCACATATTCTCTTAAGACCCATGTACTAGGTGCACAGCAAGTTGGAAAACATTTCACGCACATAGTTGCTTGTAGTTTAAAGCATGCTACCTATACTATACACTCATACTTCATTATAACAAAGTTGCACCTTACACAAAAATAAGTGCTTTATAACCAACAGTTCGTTATAAAGGTGTATTCCTAACACTGTATGTATTGTAAAGCTATTCTAATTTAATTTGTTATAAACGATACTTTGCTATATCCGGGTTTGTCATATAGTTACGGGAGGGTACACAGAGAAACGAGGTTACAGCTAAGACATATTTGCACGATGCCAATCCCAAGTCGAGATGGCAAGCGAGAGCAGTGCCCCACATCCCAGAATCACGTCGTCTTTCTCGCTGTCTGTTATTATTCTTCAGCATGATGTAGTCTTATAACATGACCCCCGGTAGCAGAAGCACTGTCTCGGTGCTTTCTATGGTGTTGCGGAGTGGTAGAGCTTAAGTCGGGAGACATGAACAATGTCTGTAGACAATGGAGCGGAAGGAGATGATGACTTCAGCGGGGCTATCTCGTAGGTAACGTCCGTGACCTGGTGCAAGACGCGGTAGGGTTTTGAGTACCGGGAAAGCAGCGTCTCTGAGAGACCAACATGACGAGTCGGTGTCCACAGCAACACAAGGGAACCCGGGGCAAAGGAGACGTCGCGATGATGTGCGTCATAACGTTGCTTCTGTTGCTCTTGCGATGCTAAGAGGCGCTTTCGAGTGACTTCTTGTGCTTCGTGAGCTCTGGTGATAATGTCACGGACGTATTCAGTCGGCGAATCGACAGCTGTTGGAAATATGGCGTCGAAAGGTAGAGTTGGGTCGCGGCCAAATAAGAGATAGAATGGTGAAAACTCAGCGGTATCGGGGCGTGAGGAATTGTATGCAAATGTGACAAATGACAACGCAACGTCCCAGTCTAGGTGGTCAGAGGAGACGTACATGGAGAACATGTCGGTTAAAGTCCGGTTGAAGCCTTTCGGTAAGCCCATTAGTTTGTGGATGGTAGGCCGTCGTAAATTTATGTTTGGTTTCGCAAGAGCGAAGCAGGTCGTCAATAACTAGGGAGAGAAAAATAGTGTCCACGATCTGTGAGAAGTTGGCATGGAGCACCATGATGGAGGACGACTTCGTACAGAAGGAAATCGGCAACACCTGTGGCACAGCTGGTTGGCAAAGCCTGCGTGATGGCATACCGGGTTATATGATCCGTAGCAACAGCTATCCATTTTTTTCCAGAAGTAGACTGAGGGAAAGGGCCTAGGAGGTCAAGACCAACATGAAAGAAGGGGTCAATAGGAAAATCAAGTGGCTGGAGGAGTCCAGCAGCAGGACTCATAGGGGGTTTTTTCGATGTTGGCACTGGTCGCATGCGACAACGTAGCGGTGCACGAAGCAATAAAGCCTGGGCCAGTAAAATCGACGCTGAATGCGGTCGTAAGTCCGAGAGAGACCAAGGTGACCGGAGGTGGGGGCGTCATGGAGCTGGGCGATAACACTCGCACGTAGGTGGGAAGGCTCCACAAGGAGCAGTTCGCGCCCATTTGTGTTGATATTGTAGTGGTACAAGGTGCCTTCTTTAAGTACAGTCAAGTAGACGGATGGTGCGTTGGAGAGTTCACTTTCTCAATAATGTCACGCAAGACGGGATCTCGGCGCTGTTCATCACGGACGTTGCTCAAAGCAGAGATTGAGAGCACACACGGCGGCGCTTCATATTCTTTCCCCCCCCATTTTTTTTTACATATTTGCCAAATTAATTTCACAGTCAGAACAAAGTAATCCTATTCCCCTAGCCTGGAAAACCTTAAGGTACTGACTTGCATTAACATTGGCTTCTTGGCCAATCCACCTTAGTGGGTGAGAGCCACAAAAGAAAAGATCAAGCAAGCAAGCAAGTAAGCAAATGAGCCAGGCCAAGTCTGCCAGTCATCATAGCGTAACATGAGTCGACAGGATGAAGACTTGCCAGCCCCTTCATCAGTCGCTCATCATCGACACTGTTCCCCACAAGACGCCCTGACCATACATTTACTACCGAATCATCTCCTAGCAGTACACAGCGACCAGCACCATGACGGAACCATCAGCTGACCTTAACATCCCGAAGTACACCGGATCAGTGGACAACGGACCCGTACAGGACTGGTTCAGCCTATTCGAGCTCCACGCTGCCGCTGCATCCTGGTCGGAACTAGAGATGGTCACAAGCTTCACTGACTACATCACTGGTGAGGCATTCAAGTTTTACCTCTCCCACATATTTCAAAACGACGAATTATGACCAAAAAAATCAAAGAAGGAAATGATCATGTAATTTAAAGATTACGACTGAAGATTTACTTACAACTCGCGATCTGAAGGCAATCGATCTCGGTTGTCAAAACCACCAGCATTCTTCAAGCACTAAAACACCCAAATTGAGTCAGCTATCCTCATTCCGACAAGACCAATTCAAACGTCCGCTCACTGAAAGACATAAAGATCTGTTTCGAAGAAGAGTTAATCTTCCACCGTGTTTTTCTATGGCACGAAAATCGACCTTTACATCATTACTTCACCATAGGACTCATGTTACCGAACCATCCGATGCACTGTACTTCCCGCCTCATACACTTAGCCCATCACGTGGCTTTCTGTCGCTTGGCTTTTCAGTTGCTCACAACGCTCACTTCGCATCTCTCATGGTCACTACAATCGAGATGGAGCCAGCGGAATTCGGAAGATACACAGCCAAGCGCTGGGTCTTCCATCCAGATTCACATGTGAGAACTACACAGTTCCTTAGATGCGGAGACAGACAGACATTGCCAAGTAAAATTTGACCAAACCACGGCTCTCGAGGCGTCGCCGCCCAGCGTCCAGCCACCTGAGAGTCTTAACAGCACAGGAGGCTCTGAAGCATCAAAGCTCACACGTTGCCGAGAGCCAGAAGCATCCATTAGGAACGGCGTCGCAAGAGCCTCCGAAGATCTTTCATTCAATTCTAGCGCACAACCTTCATTACCAGAAATGCAGCATAACAATTCCACAGACTACCATCTGCCTACTGGACACCACATCAAGTGGCCCAGAAAATCAGTGCCATGGTCAAAAAGGGTTGCCACCTCGGCTCTTTCCACAGAAACACCATCAGTGCCAGCAAAAGCAAGCGCATGAAGAACAGAGTCTCCAAGGGCTACACCAACAAGGACGACGACGAATGGAATTATCTTCGGAAGAACACGCACGGTTTATATATAGAAAGATGTTTACAAACGAGTCAACCAAACCGACGAAATAATCAAGATGTCTCGCTCGAAACAAAGAAAGCATTGAATCCAGGATATTTTCCCAAGGGACGCCAAGTAAGCTTTCTCTAATCGAAATCAAGACTCAGGCAACACGACATACAACGACGAGAAAGGCGCCAAGCCACACCCTGTATTCTGCAAGGATGCAGAAACCACCGCGCCAGCCTCAGTCAACAAACACACAAACGGGTGGTGCCGCAAGTGTTCTAATCAAGACAAAGAGCACGACGCCTGCGCAAATCATCCAGCCGATGCTCCACGGCCATCACACCACGTTGATTCATTGCAAGAATGCTGGCTGTGTTTCCATCTGATTCCACGCTCAAAGCATGCTTATGTTGTCCAGAGCACAACAGCCAGCCTCGCCCTCCAGAGCCCGGATTGCTGCCCTCTCCTGTGAAGTCTTTGTGCGCGTTGTGGAACATTGTTGTGATATAGAACTACAGCCCCTTTCCACATTTTTTTTTACTGTAAGACTTCATGTTCGTCATGCTTCATGTGTAACGCCTGCATTCTTTCGGGCGGAGGGGGAATCCTGTGATAGAAGACTGGAATGGTTAGAAGTGGATGAGGAAGAAGTGCTTTGGAATAAACATGGGGTATGAGCCAGGCATACATACATACATACATACATACATACATACATACATACATACATACATACATACATACATACATACATACATACATACATACATACATACATACATATAAATCGTTCTGCTTAGTACGAACTATTGTGAAATTTGAATTTCACTTCTAATGATGTATACTTTTGCAGCCTCTTCAATAAAGTTACTTGCAGTGCACCATCACGTATGTAGAAACCACTTTTATCCAGCGTTTGTAGCTGAATTACCTTTACTATCGTGTAATAGATAACATGAAAAAGATTCGAATTATATTTTTTATACACTTTCAACATATAAAAACTATGAACATCTATCTTCAAGTGTGCAAAAAATTATGTTATCAAGCATTCCGGCTGAGAAAACATGAAGGATTCTTTCTGTATGTTGTCTATGTAGCGAAGATAGGTAGACGGCTTTAGTGGAGATGATTTCAACAGTTTTGAATCCAAACTTTCTATCAAAATATTGGTGTATGTTGGCGCAAATGGAGTTTCCATATTAATGCCAAACTAATGCACGTTGCTGCGGATCAAATCGGCTGCGTTTTTTTACCACGATGAAGAAGCGTTGCCAGAT